ACAACAACATGACAATTGTGGAGTATCGGTGTTGTGCTATAGGATAAGCACTAGACCACGAGGTCTGTTTGAATCACAAGGTCAGCAGTTCAAACTCACCAGCTGCTCCTTGGAAACCCTATACAGGCTCACTATGAGTTGGAATTGACTAGACGGCACTTAACAAAATGACCACTGCAATGCAATATGAAATATGCCTGTGATTTCTATTAACAATAAAGTCTCAAGTGCTATTAATATTATTGTGATTTGTTGCCTGTAGTCTTAACAAAGTAAAATGTTAAATTTTAATTACAGAAAATGAAAATGTAAATTTTTCCCATGTAAGACCACAGACCACCTGATTTCTCTCCATGAAGCCCTCAGGGATGTGTCATTGAATGCCAGGTTAAGAATTCCTGATGTACAATATCTAATATATTTTATGAAGTGCCTACAATGAGGTATTCTGTGGAGGCACATATGACCCAATGTTAATCAGAATAAAAAATCACTTTTAATATATATAAGTGCTTTTAACAGCAAAACAATTATCAAGAAGTTTCCTTAAGAAAAAAATAAATACTCACCCCTGAAGCATAATAGAATAATAACCCATTTGGCTGTAACGTTTGGAAATTAAAACCTCCTTCAAAGCCATCAAAGAAAGATATTTTCTGACTTGACGCAATGAAACTCTGTCCATTGAAATATGCTCTGCGTGATATCTGTATGCCAATGCAAATGTAAAAAGTGAATATAGTGTTTTACAGCAACAGAACCAAATGCTTAAAATGCCAATTTCTCACATACCACCTTGCCTGTTAGTTTTTATACTGATAGTTTATGCTTTGACTATGGGTTTATAATCATAAACAATGCTAACAGATGGAGTTTTAGCTTGTCTACTTCTTATACCTTGAGTGAATAATGACACTAGCCTTGCCTTTCTGGGTTTTAGATACCCTGCCTGTTGAAAAGTGAAATAACTGGACAAGTAAGTCACAGAGGACTGCCAAAGGTCTTTCTCGCTAAGTCATTCTTTCTGTGGTGGGAAAGGGGGACCCAAAGTATACATGGGATCACAAAGGCTTTTGAGAGTGATTAGCTTTGTGCCACTTTATTTAAAAAGCTTTTGACTGATTGGTACTTACAAGAGAATCTTCTGGGCACCCATAACCAACTCCCAGGGTTTCTTTCTGCTCCAATAAATTGAAATCTTTCTTTTGGAATTGAAAACCCTTCATACAGCCCCTGAAGTTGATATCTAGGGGAAGGTGTGCTCGTAAGGTCCTGGGGGGGAAAAATCCGTTGTTATTGATTGACTTAGCCGTGATAAAGATGATATTACCTTGAATTTACTTAAACTCACTAGTATAAATCATTACATTGCTTTTTGGTCCAGTTGTGAGGATGTGATTTATTTTACTTGGATTCATAATCAATGTCCATTGGGGCAGCAGTTAAGAAATCAAATAATACATTGTAGTGGGCAAATCTGCTGTAAAAGACCTCTTTAAAGTGTTAGACAGTAAATACTTCACTTGGATGACTAATGTGTGCCTGAACAAAGCCATGGCATTTTCAGTTGCTTCATATGCATGTGAAAACTGGACAACGAATAAGGAAGGCCAATGAAGAATTGATGACTTTGAATTATGGTGTTGGCAAGGAAGATTGAATATAACACAGGCTGCTAGAAGAATGGGCAAAAGTATCTTGGAAGAAACACAGTCAGAATGTTCCTGAGAGGTGAGGATGGCGAGACTTCATCTCCCTTACTTTGACCATGCTATCAGGAAAGACCAGTCCTTGGAGAAGGATATCATGCTTGGTAGTAGAGGGTCAGTGACAAAGAAGAAGAGATGTATTGATATGGTGGCTGCAACAAAATTAGACATAGGGACTGCACAATTTTTTGAAAATGGTAGAGGACTGGGGTCATTATGAATTGGAACTAATATGATGGCACCTAACAACAAGAAGAATAAGATAGTATGCTTTACTATGGCAGCATTCATATCCCCATGCTTTCTTTGATAAACACACGGTAATGGCTAATCTTTGTCCAAAGAACAATTTTATTCTAAATTTAGGCAATTTGTTTAGGTCTTCATAGTTTTCAAAATCCTTTCTTTCATTAGCTCATTTTATCTTTCTAGCAATTCAGTGAACTAGATGGAAACAGCATTATTTCCCTTTTATAGATCATTATTAGATTGAACCATGAGGAACAGACATATATGTAGGTAAAAAATGGTCAACAATTGGCAACTTTGCATAGTTTAACAGCAATGTGGGGTAATGCACTGGACTGCAAATTTGATCTGCAAGGTCAACAGTTCAAGCTTACCAGCTGCTCCTTGGAAACCCTATAAAGGGTTACTATGGGTTGGAACAGACTCAACGACACTTAACAACAACAACAATCTATAAAATGAAGCTAAAATATCTGAAGCTATTCTCTTATGTTACAAGTGGTTGATTTGAACCCAGGTATCAGACTTTCAATAATCCACTTGTGGTTATTGAACCAGTGTTCTTGCAATATACTGTTATTAACTAAACCTAGGACTGTCATAGCGAATATTGGACCTTTGGATGAATAGAAAAGTAAGAAGTAAGAAATCCTTTATCCCTAAGACAAGGGATGGCATCTTGCTATACTGTGATCCCAGTACTTATAAGCCTTGCATTTAGGTAGTGTCCAAATATATGCTTTATTTATTATTGGATGCTAAATGAATAGGAAGTTAATTTAAAATCAAAGTGAGTCCTTTTATTTTGATTAAATATAAGGAGGAACTTTATAATAATTGATAACATCAAGACTTTTCTCTCTTATGTTTCTTTTAAGGTAGCCACAAACCCATTGCTAAAGTTATACAAAGAAAGGAATGAGGGCCTATGGAGATGATTCCGTATTGGATGGGAGATCAGACTCTATTGGAATCACCTGCCTACAGAGGGTTTACTTTGTTTTGTTTTCAAATATGTCAACTCATCCCAATAAGAATTTCTGGAGAGTGGGGCCTGAGCAATGGTATTTATAAAAGTTCTTCATGTTCTGATGAGAACCAGGGTTGTGAACTACTGGTGTAGATTATCCTAGAGTGCCCTTCAGCTTCAAGGGTCTCGGATGCAAATGAATTGGTTGTAATTAGTGGAGAGCTAATTTAAAATATATTAGAACAATGTTTCCTTATACATGACCCACAACCCCTTAGATAATGTCTTGAAAATTTCACCTTCATTAGATGCTGTTTGAGAATTCAAATTAAGTTTTAATTAAGCCTAAAACTAAACAAAGGGATACAATGCTACTTTATTTTCACACAATATACAGGGCTCTCCTTGATGAGTGTGTGCCAGGAGTAAACAACAATAAATGAAAATTTGAAAGAAATTATAAATCATATCTACTAGATGCTAATGGGAGAGATCCTGAGGAGGGCATGTGTGCAGGTGCATCTGTGTGGAAGGGGGCAAGTGGGAGTGCTTCAACCTTAATCTAGACAAACAAGCATCCCTGCGCATCAAACAAGCATCCCAGTACATGATTAGGAGCAAACAGTTATTGTACAAACTAACAAATGAACAAGCTCACCTGGACTGTAAAATTTCTGGAGGAGCCCCACCAATGTATATGTCTGTAAAAGGTATTTTCATCTTTTCATTATCCATGCTTTTCACATGTCGTCTGTCAACTACCAAGATCATTTTCTTATCGTTGTGGTAAATGATTGAGATCTGGGAGAAATGACAGAAAGTATATCTTGATCAGCTCTTGAATCATCAGCTTTAGGAAGACTCCTATATAGCCCCATTATTCTGGCTGTAACATCCACTCTTCCATGTCCTTGCACTTGTTTGTTCACAACAATGGAGAAGAGATTTTCCCTTTGTACTTACACACATAAAAACTCTGTTCATGCAACCAACAGTTCAACTTCCTGGGGAAGTTGAGGAGGAGCTGACCCCTCAAAATTTTTTGCCATGAGGCCAGCTGTTTTCTTCTTGCCCTTTCTGAGAGATTTGAGAAAGAACTATAAAAAGGTGCCTTCTGAACTGTAGATGGCAGGTCACAGGTATTGTTCTTTATGGACATAATGAGTAACCTAATGAGTCTGGAAATGTTGTTGGCAGAGAGGTAGTTAAAATATTCCTTTATTATAAGCCATCTTCAGGAAGGCTTTGGACTTTGAGCTGAAAAGAAAAATATAGCTTCTTATCCCCTACATTTTGGTTCAATTGAAAAGCTATGACTTTTATATGCTTTATTAAACTATAGATCTAGAATAGCTCTTCATGAAAACAGAGGAAATGCATTATCTATATATTGTATATAGGTTTCAAGACTAAAGATCATTCTTTGTGGGTTCTTTTTATAAGGAAACCTGAATTAGCATTTTCTAAATTTTGGGTAAATGGTTTAAAGTGAAACTCTGCATTTACTTATATCTACTCTTGGAAACCCTGTACAGGGTCTCTATGAGTCGGAACCAACTCCACGGCACATAACAACAACAACAACAACAACTCTTTTTTACAAAAGGAGTTCTGGTAGCATAGTGGTTACGAATTGGGCTGCTATCCTCAGGGTCAGCAGTTCGAAACTACCAGTTGCTCCATGGGAGAAAGATGAGGCTTTTTGCTCCCGTAAAGATTGACAGCCTCAGAAACCCTGTACAAGGTCACTGAGTTGGAACCGACTCCACGGCACATAACAACAACTCTTTTTACATTTACATTAGTAGCTTGATAAATAAGTAAAACCCAAACAACAACACAACAACAAAATTCCTACGTATCTGTGTCCTGACATTTTCAGTAAATGGATAGATGGATTGTATAGGAGAGCTATGGTAATTGTGATTTTAGCCAGGCTGGAGCCTTTTGGTCAGTGTAGCAATTAAAAAGAATCTTTCAGTGACTCTTATAAATGCTGATTTGACAAAAACATCCATTCTTTTAAAGCAAATGTTATTCTTAGGTTGAATTGGCGAGGACTCCTCAGCTGCTTTTACAAGTGAAGATATTCAGTTTAATTGCTATCCAGCCTACCTCATTTGACCACTTGATTAGATGAATATCTCTGAGAGCAAAAACAAACTGAAACTATGACAATTTGTACCTCATGGTATTTAGCATCATTAATTCGGGCTTTCTTCAACGTGTCTTCAAGATGCACAGGACCATTGCTGAATCCAAAGTCATAGAACACATGAAGGTATCCATTGCGCATCTCCAGACTGAAAAACATACTCTGTGGGGACAAAGAAGTTGCAAGATGTGAGCATCTGCTCTTATCACAGTGTAGATTTAGCTGAATGTGAGAAATAACAGTGTATTCTTCATTATTAAAATTATTGAAAGATGAAGGAAGTCTCATGACATTTTTATTATGAATAAAAATTACTACTTCGGTAGCGTAGTGGTTATGAATCGGGCTGTGAACCTGAAGGTCAGCAGTTCGAAACTACCAGCAGCTCCGCGGGAGAAAGCTGAGGCTTTCTACTCCTGTAAAGATTTACACCCTTGGAAACCTTGTACAGGGTCGCTATGGGTCGGAACCGACTTGATGGCACTTAACAACAACAACAACAACAACGTATCATCAGTTATTGCTCATATTAATAAATGAGTTGAAATGTTCATATTTGCTGATGATTTAAAAGCGCTATCTTTTTACAATTCCATCTATGAATTAATGAGTTAAGTTTAAAGTCTACAACATTGAATTTTGAAATCTCTTCAAATTAATGGACCATGTGTAGTCAACTGACTTGTGTTTGTGCAATGAAAAAAATTATGACAGGCCAACAGATGCAAATGTCTTCATTAAAAAAAAAAAAAAAAAGGATAGTACTGGAAAATAATTCTGAGGTACACTGAGAAAAATCATAAGAATTATTGACAACTATTAATACAAAAAGGTCATTTCTGTATTATTTTGAAACATTGAATTTATGTCAATAAATATGAATTTGTTATAGACTTGGAATATATGATATTTTAGAATCAAACTAATTTAGTAGAGTAAGTAGTTTACTGGTCAAGTGTGCTTCTTTTCAGAACTCCAGAGTTAAAAGAATTCAACTGGCTTAAAAAATTAGACACTGTGGTAATGTTCCTATTCTTCAGAAAATGTCTCAGGAGTGGAGTTGCATACATTTGGGAATATGGAAAACAACCCATTGGAGCACAGGGAGAAAATATTTCACTGTCTCTTCCTGCTTATTTTAAAAATCTAAACTAGGGAAAGAAATGAGTCTTTAGTATTTAATATATTCATCACTCAGCTGTAAGTCTGTTGTACTGTGTGTTGCTGGGATGCTGGAAGCTATATCAACAGTATTTCAAATACCAGCAGGCTCACTCATGGTGAACATGTTTCAGTGGGAGCTTCCAGACTAGAAAGAAAGATCTGGCAATGTGTTTCTGAAAATGAACAAAATAAATCTTATGATCACAAGAAAATATTGTCTGACTTGCTTGCCTTGGACACATCATCAGGAGGAGGGCATATGTTTGGTGAAGTAGCGGGCCTGTGAGTGTGAGGGAGATCTTCCATGAGATGGGCTGGCACAGTAGTAGCAAAATGGGCTCAGCATGCTGGAGATTATGAGGATGACACAGGACCAGGCGATGCTTTGTTCTGCTGTACATGTTATTGCCAGGAGTTGGCACCAACTTGCTAGCAGCTATCTATTCAAGATTCACAGGACCATTGCTGAATCCAAAGTCATAGAACACATGAAGACAACCAGTTCAATCTATGCTGTGACCCAGGGTCTTCACTTCACCCCTGTGTCAGTCTTTTGTGAGGTTTACATACTACGAGAGACTTTCTGAATGTGACTCCACACCCGGAGAGTTGACAGTGGCCCCCATCTATCTCTCCACTGTCAGCCTACTGAAATTTGTCACAGTTGTGGCTCTGTGAGTTAGGCATTGGGCTGCTAACCAGTGGTTCAAAACCACCAGCTGCTCTGTGGGAGAAAGATGAGACTGTCTGCTCCCATAAAAATTTACTGTCTCAGAAATCCTACATAGGGTCGTGATGAGTCTGAATAGACTTGAGGGCACAGGGTTTTAAAATTTTTTTTTATGTGGGTTTATGGGTGATATAAATAATAGAATATTTATAATTATTTTGTATTGAGATGCTGAGTGATGTAAAAATCTTCTGAGATACACAAATGTTTGTTGGCTACTTCCTATGAATTACCAAAAACACTGCCAAGTGCAAAGAAGAGTCACACGTTTTTCTTTATAACATCAAGTCTCTAAATTTGCTGACCTTTATTTGTGGTGACAAATACTTTACAGTAGTACAAAACCTACTATTTATTTTAAAAAACTGAACATGCTTCATCTGTCATCTCAAGCTAGGTATTATTACTGCAATGGATGAGGAAGTAAATTTTGTTTTTTTAAGAAACACGTACTCTGGGGAGATGGGTTTTAAAGGATGTGTTTGGAGATTTTTTTCTAATGCTGTTATTTTCCCAAAGAAGAAAAAAAAATTAGTATATCAAGTAAAAATATGTAAGTAAAACTCATATCTGCACTATTAAACACGCATGGAAAGAAATTTCTAATCTGTTTAGAAATCTTCCAGTTGAAGATTTTCAGAGATTTGGAAACCATTTATTAAGAGTTTATAAAATGTTATAATTGAATATCTGATTAGCATGCAATCACTGGCATTAGGAAAGGGGGAACTGTACTAGGCAAATTTCAAAGAAAACCTTTGTTAATTGATAAATCCACCACTTGTCTGCCAAGGCTGTCCATTTGCTTTGATGCTATATGCCACCTTTTTTTCCCCCAAATACAAGCAGGGTCATCAGTGGGTGGGTGGACAGGTTTCATCAGACTTTCTTGACTAAGACAGACTAGGAAGAAGGACCTGGCAATCTACTTCTTAAAAAACCAAAACAAACGAAAGCAATGGTCAGTGAAACCCTTATGAACTGCAGTGGAACACTGCCTGATACAGTGCCAGAAGGAGTTCCTTATGTTGCATGGGCAGCAAAATACAACGGGGGAAGAGCTGCTCCCTCACAGTGAGTAGATCTTAATAATAGAGATGCAACAAAGCTTTTGGAATCTTAATTTGCTGATGTGGCACACACAAAATGGGAAGAATCAGCTGCAAACATCTGTTAATAATCAGAACCTGTAATATATGAAGTATGTTTTTTTTCTCAAGTGCTGTTGAGTTGGTTCCAACGCATAACAACCTTGTATTGTTTCCAGAAGGAACTCTGGTAGCGTAATGGTTACAAATCAGGCTGCAAACCGCAAGGTCAGCAGTTCGAAACTACCAGCTGTTCCGTGGGAGAAAGATGAGGCTTTCTGCTCCTGTAAAGATTTACAGCCTAGGAAACCCTGTACAGGGTCGCTATGGGTCAGAACTGACTCGATGGCACATAACAACAACATTGTTTCCAGGGAGCATGTGGGCATTTGAACACCAACTGTGTGGTTTGCAGTCCAGTGCTTATCCTATAGTGCCACACTGGGAATCCACATGAAATATAATCTAGAAAAAATTGAAGTAATTGAAAATGATATGAAATGCATAAAGATCCAAAGCTTAGGCATAAATTGAAGAGGAATAATATCACATTCATTGCCAAACGGAACATTTCAAGATGAATCTGAAGAAAAATGCTGAAGGTTGAAAGGTATTGGCCAACATTCAGTCACTTTAGGAGGGACCTTATGATAAAAAAAATTAATGATCTTGAGGGAACAGGTCCAAGCTGCAATGAAGCACTGGCGTAAAACAAGGTGGCAGGAATTGACAGAATACCAACTGAGATGTTTCAACAAATAGATACTACTCTGGAAGTTCTTACTTGTCTCATCTATGCCAAAAAGTTTGGAAGACAAACTGTCCAAATAACTCTAATACATCTGTGTTTTTTCCTGTTTCAAAGAAAGGTGATCCCGCAGAATGCAGAAAACTGCAAACACTATCCTTAATATCACACATAAATCAAGTTTTGATGAAGATAATTTAAAAGCTTCAACAATTGATAAGACTGAGAAATGGTCTGATGATTTAGGAGGCAGTCAGTGAAACAGTTCTGTTTTTTATTTTTATGAGGTATGCCTGCCATTTACAGTAGCCAACACAATGACATATTGAAATAAAATGGATGATCACAAAGGATTTAAGAATATAGATATTTTTAAATTA